AAGCTTCTACTTCCGTTGCAACCCAGATTTTGTGCCAGACTCCATCAATCAGTAAGTCAATAGAGCGTGGGATTGCCTCTGGCTGGATCTTCTTGTTTGCCTCCTGGGTATTCTGTGAATGGTCTTCTACGTTTTGATCAGGTTTCTTTTTTTCAAGCATTCTGCTCATACACACCTGTAGCAGTTCTGCTGCATTTTTCCAACCCGAGCTGTTATGTTCCTCTGGGAAGCATAATACTTGCCTTTTATCCTCGACCAAACTATTCTTTTAGCGTCAGGAACCAACCTTTTAGATTTCTTTTCTGTTCTATAAGATAAGACCTTTCTTCCACCGTTGGGGTGTTCTTCCAGCCTTGAAATTTTACTGTGTATTACTCCATCAACGAAGCCTTTTAGCCAGCTCACTGCTTCAATGTCCAGGAACACAGTTGTTCTTCTTCCTTCTCTTATCTTTAATAACTCCTTTCCTCTGCCTCTAGCTTCCTCGAGCAGAAAGTAGTTGGCCTCGATCCTTGCTTCCTTCATCCACTTCGCCATGCTCTTGAACGCCATGGTGGTTTCCTTCTTTCTTTCCTTCTTCCAGCCTTGGCCACTCCAGTTCTTCCGAAGGTAACTTCTCATTCAAAGGGCTTCCATAAAGAGATTTGAAATGATTGACAAAAGCTCAAACTATTTCCTCTTGGTTGGTAACTTCTCTTCCAAGTCCTTTTTCAGCTGCCTTCTCTGTTCTTTGTCTTGTTCATTCAACAACCCTTGGGATTCCTTCTCATCCAACACTTCAATTTGATAAATTCAGGTTTTGTTCTTCCATCCTTCCAAAGTGATCTCTATTCTACTCCTTCAATTTAAATCTTAGCCTCTGTAGCTTCTTATGGAATCTCACTCCCTTCCATTTTACCCCCCTTAATTCCTCATTCCACCACTCCTTTACTTTGGCCTTAAATTTTGGGTGTGTTAACCACATGTTTTCAAATCTGAAAGGTCTAGGACCATTGATGAAGGGTTCTACCCCCATCTTAATTGGACAATGGTCAGAGGCGATCCTAGGCAAGGTTCTAGAAACCAAATTGCCCCAGTTATTCTCCCAGGCTAAGTTGAAAAGGAACCTGTCCAGCTTTGAGCACAAAGGGTTTTCCTGGAGATAGACCAAGTGAATCTGTTCTACAACAGTGGGATTTCCTTCAACTTGCATTCATCTATGAAGTCATTAAACTTCCTCGTGCTTGCTGTTATTGATTGTTGGGAACTACTAGTTTCATTTGAAAATCTTATGACGTTAAAATCCCCTCCTAGACACCAAGGACCATTCCTTAGACCTTTAATTGCAAACAACTCCTCCCACATTTCATTTCTCTCTTTGTAGGAGTTGGTGCATACACATTAGTTAATACCTGAAGAAAGTTGTTCTCCACATTCCTAAATTTGATAGAAATAGAGAATCTCCCTATGAGTTCCTCCACTGGTTCCACTGCCTCGTCTTTCTAGATTGTCACAATCCCCCCCCCTGAAGCTCCTTAGGCTGGAACCGAAGACCAACTTACACCCCTGGATCTCCAAAACTTATTGGACCTCGCACATTCCATTTACACTCCTCTTTCTCACACTCCCTCGTCCTCGCACATTCCAGCTTTACTATTCTCTTCATTACCTTTCTTATCAAGACCCTTCTAGTACCCCTCTCCTCCTTTCCTCACCTAGAGCTCTTTCTCCAGTCTCTCCTTCCACTAAACTCTATGTCCCCCTCAATGTTAGATATCAACCTTTCTGCTGTAGTTTTTTTTTTCTTTTTAATTTCCTTCTTTTGCTCATTTTTCCTATGATACTTCTGCAAAGCTTCTCTCTCCTTCTCAAAAGCAGCCTCCTTAACTATCCTTTTACGTTCATTTTCTACTTCATCCTCTACTTTTTTGGACAACACCATCTTCTCATTAAACTCTTCCAAAAAATTCTTCCCTTTGCCTAAGCTCCTCAAAGACAATCTGGATTAGACTCTAGATCCTTGTGACCTCCTCCTCTAGTCCCTTCCTAAAAACAGATTCAGCTTTTTCTTTTCCTTCCTCAACAACAACTGTAACTCCGCCTTTAGATCTGTCAATGCCCCCCTTCTAGATGAGACACTAGGGTATCTGCAAGAGGATCAACACACTTGTTAGTACCAAAAAACAAATGGACAGTCGTACCTGGTCTTTGAGACGACGAAGAAACATTAAAGAAGGCTAGGAGTTGAGACTTTTAGTCTGAGACCATGATTTTCCCCTTATCCAGACTTTTCTGCGGAGTGGTTTGGTTGGATTGATATCCCTTTACAAGACGCATGCAAGTTCTGCCTTTCTGGACCAATCCCCATACAACACTACTCTTTTGGATTAGCTCCCTTGATAATGGGGGTGTAGTAAGCACAACCCCTAAAGCCTAAAGCCGTTGTTTCAATGTTGTGGTCTTCCTTGACTTCACAAACGCCAGTCATTTTCTCTTCTATGAACAGAAGTTTTGTGCTGAGTCTTCACTATCCTCTTCATCAGACCAATCACCAACTTCCACGAGATCTAGGTCCCTTCTTTTCACACATCCGGGATTTTGCCTATCATGCGAGATTGTTTTTAGAATCTTGGTCGGCATCCGTTGAAGCAAGCTGTTGGGGAGAGAAGCTGCTCCAGATTTGCAGCAACCAGCAAAGGAGCTTAAGGAGGACGATGATATACCGTCCTTCCAGTCTATAGGAGCTCTTAGAGATTCGAGCACGTCGGTTTTTTAAAGTTTTATGTGACTTGCCTGATTCTAACATATTAACATGGACCTCTTTAACAAATTTGGCCCTCGGTTCAACTGATAGGTCTTACGACCCCATGTTAGGCATGTTGGGTCGGGCCTACATTTGGTTCAATTTCTTTGGACTTGAGATTGGGCCTAACTTGGGCCGACACCTCTGTATCGGTATTGGTCATGGGGTATATGGGAAATGCTACGAATACGCTCGTATCCCCTGAATCATCCGTATTGGAATGATTCGCATTTGTATCAGACCATATCGTGTTGTATTAGTCGATACATGCTGATACGGACCAATACACGGCTACACGTGTGTTTCGTTTTTCACACTTTCATGCGCCTAATTTAAAAAATTGCGGCTGGCATGACTTGAACCCAAATCAACCAACACATAAGACTTGAACACATTCATAAGCCACTAAGACAACCATTATTTATTTTATGTTAATAAGTGAAATAAAATAAACCTTTTCAAATTTTAATGCCCACATGTAGTTTGAATAAATAACATATATTTATGTTCAACAATTCCAAGTAAAGATTAAAAATTATTATTCAAAATTAATATTTTGTAAACTAATGGAGTAAATAATTTCTCAAATCGACATTTATAACAAAAAGTGGTTTCTAATCTCATGAAATTTATACAAATAAAATTGTTAATAATAGAATAATTATTTTAGTACTTAAAATTTATAAATTTAAACATGATAATGTCTTAAATTTTTTGTAAATTGTTAATTAATATTTTAATTTGCATTAAATAAAAATATATTTATTATTTTACAAAAATAAAAATATTGTTTACAAAATACTTGAAAATATAATATAAATTGAATTTTCCAAATCCACTAATCTATTTTTATATAAAAAAATGCTTTTTATTTCATAAAATCATAAAAAAATATTAATAATGAAGTAATAATTTTAGTAATTAAAAATATGAATTTGCATATGATATGTATCTTGGAAATTTTAGTATATTTGAGATATTTTATGTTAAGGTTATATATTTTTATGAATTATTTATTGTTATTTTCATTACACTTTATTATAACATTTTTATTGTTCACAAAAATATAAATATTGTTTACCAAACATTTGAGAATTAATTTTGGGTTAATGTTAAAAACTAAAATAGTTGCATGTATTTTGTGACATGAACTTCAATAAAAAATAAATATTAGCTTTGTGCATGTATTAATTTGTGAAAATTTACATAATATGTTCTAGGACTCTGGATTGATACATTATCAATAAAATTGTATGATTTCTATGCATCCTACTACATTAATTGTAATATATTTATTCACAAATACCATTATAATATACATTTCCTATGTATTTATACATTTATTTTGACTATTTTAACCTTAAATATAATGTTATTAATATATTTTTGGAATTTATATGCATTTCCCAACGTATCCAGAATTGATTGGACAAATCAAGCTTTTAATGGTAAATATATAAGGATTATAATGGTAAATATATAATGGTTGTAAGTAGAAACTAGAAAGGGGAAGTTTGAGAGTCAGACAAAAGTAGTTGAACTTGGCATTTCGAAACGAGATTGGATGAAATTGGGTATGCTAAAATCCAAATTTGATTTGTTAATATTTCTGATCCATATTAAGTTTTAATTGTTGGATATAAACCGGACTTGGATCATAAGTACTCTAAAAATGATCAATATATTATGTATTACTAACAAAATAGCTGATAATGACTTTGAGATTGTACATCATGAATAAATTGGCTTAAAGACATGAGACTTGAACCTGTGAATCTTTGGTGCACAGACAACATTTACGCCAATTTATGTAATAGATACACATCAAGTTCATCTAGCTATAAGCATGTATATTTATATTTAAATATTATTGGCCAATGGTAATGGATCAGATTTGGATGGATCCATAATTCATCCAACCATAAAAGGATCAAATTTGGATCACCTCGATTGGATCAGATTCAAATTCAAATTTGGAGAAATGAATACCAATTGCAGCCTTTTTATATGTGGTTATCGATTGTATCTTGTGTTATTATTGGACAGGACAAATATTTATACATATCCAGGTTGTCATTTTTTGATTGTGGATATGCATAACCGCAACCTTTATTGGTTGCTTTGAACTATTTTTGGTCCCGTAGAAGTAGAAATTTTGGAATTATGTGCATTTACTTATTGTTTAGGAACTAAGTCAGGCTGTGTGCATCTGCTTCAGGACTATGGGATTGACTTTGCTGATGATGACCATCCTGTAAAGGCATTCTGTTGTTGCTGTGGAAGCAAATTCTGCCGAGACATAAAGCGTCCTAACAGTTAGTATTATCTTATCCTTTTATTAGTAGTCTTTGCAAAATGGGTAAATCACTAATACCTCCCTATGGGTTTCAGTCAAATACTTGCACAACCCTTCAGGTTTACCTAATAACTTGTACCCCTTTGACCACCAAGCTACAGGGGGTTTGTTGAGAGAAGGGACATAATTACGATAGAAATAGAGACTTACTAAAATGTCCTTGACAGTAAAATATTAGTTTTTCCTTCAAAATGTATGTTCCGAAATTTGATAAAAGTACCCTCGTTTATAAACATCAAATACAGTTTCTTTGTTTGATTTTTTCTTGAACCTGTTTTCAACTTTTCATTCTTACCTTGATACAATAGCATAAAAATGTCTTTTCAAGAAAGTATAAAGGAGGGTATTTCGTCCGTATAATATATGAAGATGCAAAAAGAAAAGGTAAAATGGATTTTCAAAAAGTTCTAACTGTCAAGTGCTTTCCATCACTAAAACTGATGGCATGTTAATGGAGGGGTGGAATGTGTATTTGACCAAAATCCCATGGGAGGAAGTGCAAGTAATTTGCTTTCAGAATAGATCATTACTTGTAAGTTATAATTCTCTAGGGTCTTTTAGCCGACCTTGGAGTCTTGGAGTCCAAAGAATTATTAATTGCATATCTTTTGATAGCCTTCTAAACTTTTTGATCTCATTTCTGAAATACCATAGGCTCTCTTTTCCTCTTTTCTCAACCAGCTTAGGATTACTTTGGAATCACCATCAATTATCAGGTCGCCTTCTGTGTTGGGAACATCTCCTCCTACACACAAGTGAACTGGAGAGGGTCACTGGGGACGATAAGAATGGAGGCATAGTGGGATACTCTTAAATGGATGCATAACTGGGTAGGGTCAAGGGCTGAACCGCTCAAGCCTTCGATGTTAGGATCAATGGCGAGCTCCTTTTCTCGCTGCCTCTGGTTTCACCTCTTTGGAATAGAATGAGGCCCATTGGACTATCAAACTAAATCCACATCAATCCGTTTCACCAATTACCCCTTAAGTCTGGATTGGTCCAACTCAAAAGATATATTGGACTGTCCAATCCATCTGAATTTGGTTCAGTTCGTATTGGGTCCAATCCAAACCCAGTCTATTGACACCCCTTATGATGGATAAGCAAAGATGGTGACTTGTTCATAAACCTATGGTTTTAAATTTCACTTGGGCATAGACAGATAAAATGAAAATTCCACTGTGAATCATACAACTGATCATAATTGTTAGATTTAATTTTTTTCCCTCATTTAAAATGGGTATAAATATAATTCTAGTTGTGGACTCTAATGCCTCCCATCGATGGCCCATTTATAATGAACAACTCTGTTGTATCATTTTTTGTGACACAGGAACTAGATCCAGGTCATTAATTTTGCGGTGATCATGATGCAGTGGCTTCACCTATGGTACCGTAAACAGGGTCTTCTTAGTAAGCTATGTGATGTGATTGTTTTATCCATGTATTCTTTTAGTTTTTGTCTTTTTAGCACTTTTGGTTATCAGTTGTAAATATAGTTAATTTGTAAATCGCTGAAGGGTATTTTGGGGTTTTCATGTACAGTTATCTATATGTGAATCTCTTAACTGATTGTTACATGTAATTCAAATTTTAGACAATTGTATTTGTAGTGGAATAGAATATATGCAATGCAAATTTAGGGGGCGTTATACGTGAATTGTTTTTCTTGTTTCCGTTTCCAAAACCAAATAAAAACCGGCTGGATTGGAAACAAATTGTTATTGAAAACAAAAACAAAGAAAACATGATCTTTTGGTTGTGAAATTTGTTTTTGCTTTCAAAACAGAAAGCAAAAAAATGTTCGTGAATTGCTGGTTTCAAAAACATGTTTTCAATTAGTGATTTGATATTATGTTTCATAAATCATATGATATTTGCACATAGATTCTAATTCAATGGTATACTTTTTCCTATGCATACTTATGCCTAATCTAACCCACATTGATAAGGTATATAATTGTCCTATAAATGTTTTTATATTTCTTATTTGTAAGTACAAAGGCAATTGAGATTGAATGCTCCAAAAGACCTAAACCTCTAAAACCAGAGTAAGATTGTAGGTATACTCACTAAAGAGCATCTCAAAGTTACTAGATCGCTCAGAGTTGCTTTATTGTTGGATGTTTCTTTGAAACCAGATTGCTGAGGTCTTTTGTCCGTCTTCGGTCTAAACCCTCTTTTTCATATCGGTAAGAGTTACTGTGGCTTTTTTACACACTACCAAATCTGACAACTCCATTGTAACTCTTGGAATGTATTGAAGCTATGGAGGATGATAGATGGAGAAGCAGGGTTGCTTGCGACTCACCGTATCATGAGATTAGAGACCAACAATTTATTTTTGTTTTAGAAAACATAATTTTGTTGGTTTCGAAAACATGGATTTAAAAAAAAAAAAAACCTTGTTTTCACATGTGAAAAGAAAAACAAAGTTGACAAACATGATTTTGTTTTCCTGCTATATGTGGCAATTTTGGAAACAAGTGAAAACAAAACCAATCATGTTGAGAAGATAATAGGAGTGCAAATCAAGATATACTTAGGATGGAGATTAAGAGATGACTCAATCCGACTTCTCTGGTACATCAGTTGGATAATTCATAACAATGGAAATATTGAGGACGTTGCCCATGGAGTATAGGCAAAATAGAAGGCTGCATCTGGCATCTTGTGCTATCGAGTATAGGCAAATATTGAGTGAAGTGTTGGGTAGTTAAATAATATGTCCAAGAAATGGAGTCATTTGAAGGATGCTATAGTAATCAAGGTGCCAAGGTGAGGCTAGGGCCGCTACTCTCCTAGGTGATGGATTTTTTTTTAATAAAAAGCATGAACCCTAGGGTAGTTCCTAGGCTCCATAGCAACTAGAAACCATCATTCACTAATAATAATAACAATTTTCATCAAAAAGTATCAATTTCATAAATAGAAAATCAACATATTCATGAGAAGAAACTAAGGAAAGAAAAAAAAATCATAAAATGTTTTTGTCTCAGTAAAAGAAAAAAAAGGTGGAAGAAGAAGGTGTTTCTTGGACAAAATTTTAAAATCTTACTAGTTCTTAACTTATTTATTCAAGTTTTCAAGTCTTTGAGGGTTCAAGATAGCATGCACCATAAGACCAACATGTGTTGATTGAAGGCTAAGGAATAAGAAAATAATAAAATGAAAATAGTATATAAACCCACGAAATGAATATCTTAGTTTAATAATGTCTATTTTGTTTCCACAATAGTTCAAAAGCATGGCTTCATACACCAACCACTTATGCTTCTTTATTTTAGAATTAATGGAGACTCGTGTGATGTATGGATTTTGTTAATCGAAAGGTAAACAATAGAAACATATAAGAGCAGACACTTTTTTATATTTTCACTTCTCAACTAATTATAATCATTTATGTTTATATATTACTTTTAATAAACTCTTTTACGATTTGAAAGTAACAATAAGTAATTTCAGCTAAATTAATAGTCGAATCTCTAATAAATAACAATAGTTTAATCTCCAATCATTATTAAAAATTTATAGTAAAAACACATAATTATTGAAAAMAAATTAATAATAAAAATATAATAAATAACTAATAAAAATACAATAGTTAGGAAAGTACAAAAATACTGAAAATGTATTAAATTAATTAAAAAATAAAGTAATTTCCAGTAACAGCTTAATCTCTAATAAATATTAATCAATAAATTATAACAAAAATACAAAATTACTGAAAATAAATTATAAGAAAAATATAATATATTAAATTTCAAAAATTTAAATAGAAATAATTTATTATACAATAATTATTGAAATTTATTGTTAAATAACAAAGCAAAAATATATTTATCACAAAAATACATCAAATAATTACTAAAAATACAATAAATATTAGTACATATATATTAGATATAAATAAATATTTAAACCTATTATTAATAAATATTAATTTTTATGAAAAATATTTTTTATCATTATTAATTGATATAAGTGAAATAATAATTTTATTAATACAATAATAATTTTAATTATTATAATATTGCTTATATCTATTAATTTTTTTTGAAAAGCATTACATATTTTTGTTATCTGGAAGCTTCAATACATGTAAATTATTTAATCTATTTTTCATTATTTCAACAATATTTAAAAATTTTAAATTATTTATATTTTATATTCTTATTGTCATACATTATTAAACTTATTATAATTATTTTTTGTTTTTAATAAAATTTAAGATATAACATAATTTCGTTATTTATTCTATTCTTTAATTAAATAATATTTCAAATATTATTTAGTTGTTTGACGAATTTTTTCATTGAAAATTTTAAAACATTAATTATTTATTATTTCAATAATCTACAAAATTATAAATTATAGTGCTATAACATAATTTCGTTATTCATTTTGTAAAATACTAAATTATTATTAACTCGAATATTATGAAATATATTATAATTATTTTTCTATTTTTAAGAAAATTTTTTAATTCATTACATTATCTTATTATTTTAAATTTTGTTATGTTAAATATTTTTTTATTTAAATCTTCCATTAATATTTAAAATATCTAATTTTTATTTATTTTAAATTTATTACATAATATTAAATATTTTTAATATTTTGTTATTTAAATATTTAAATAGTATTTTAATTTTTGTAATTTTGAAAAAAAATATTATTTAAATAACATCATATAATATTTTTTATTTTAAATTGTAAAATACTATTTATTTATCAAATTGAATAACCGGTAAAATTATGGTTTATATTGTTATTACATAATTTTGTTATGAATTTTGTAAAATATAAAAATATTAATAATCTAAGTATTATTAAATCTATTATAATTATTTGTAATAGACATTTTAATGTTTTAGAAAATTTAGTTATATTTAAATAATTCTTAAATTTTTTAATTCAAGTAGAAAGTGGGGTAGAGGATCAATTGGAATTAGAGATAATTTAGGAGAGAATAGAAAAATTGGAATGGATTCTAGTAGATGAGGTAGCGGTGCCACATGGATAGACATGTATAAAACCTTGTATTTGTACTGTACATATTTGTATTCATACTCCTACCAAACTGAGCCTAATTGTTTGTAAAAATGGCATGAAAGCATCATGAAGTCAGTGTGATCAATGCTATTAACTTCATCCAAAGCTATATCATACTAAAATATAGAATTTCTTTCAAAATCATAAAACCAACGTCCAAAATATCAATAGTTCAGTATTGAGCAACTAAAATCATCGATGCTCTTATGTTTTGGTTAGTTTTAAATTTCAATCAAAGCCCCATATTTCCATATATCATTAATGCATAACTATTAATCTTTTAATCTATGATATGGGAAAGGTATCATTCTTGTATCATATCAGAAGGAAGACAATCAACAGTCGCCTTATCACTTTCGATCATTAACGTCTATTAATCTATGATATGTTAACGTCTTTAGTCGTTAAAAGGTTTTTAGTTGTCACTCTCCCCCCTTCTCTCTTTGACTCTTTCTCTCCAAATTCCAACCCCCATTGGTCTCAATGAATCTCGATTAATGACCACCCTGCATGCCTGCATCATTCTCCTATTTCAAAAACTAACAGTCCTAATTGTTCACCTTCATGGCGGATGTCAGTTCTTGATTAAACGCCCTTCTGAGCTTCGCAAACAATACGACCAACCTGGAATGATTTTTCCCGCTATCAGCTTGTAGCAGAAATGTGAATGGTTGTTTTGGGAGCAATGACTAGCATGGTTGTATTTTAATATGTAACAGAAGTGGCATCACTAGGCAGAGGAAGATCAAATCGGGTGATAACCAAAAAAAAGGATAAATTTCTTAAAGTACCCCCAAAGTTTTAGGAATTGACTAACTCTATCTTTACTATTTACATACTGTCAAAGTATCCTTAAGTTTTGTAACAATTATCTACAACCTCCCTTGCTGTTAACTTTTCATCACGCTCTATCACATATGACRTCGCATGACAAATACATTTTTCAAAAATTCCTAAAATCTATTCACTTTTTTCTTGCATTTCCGATCTCACCCCATATCTTCAGTTTTTTCCATCGTATAACAGAGTTCGATATCTTATCACTCTCCCTTCTTTTTTCTTGTTTCCTTCCCACCATTTATTCTGTTGCACCGTTTGTCAAATGAATCACAAGTGGAGCAAATGGATGATGATCACATGTTGGGGCAGCAATTTTTGACCCAACCTGTTGAACCCACCCAACCCACCCAATTATTAATGAGTCGAACCCATTTATTTAATTCTAGGTAGTTGTGGGTCGGTTAACCCAATAAGCATGGGTTTTAATGGATTGGGCGGGTTAGGTGATGGTTAACCATCGAATCCATCAATGAGCAAATATAGAGACAATACTCGATAGTCAATATAGTCATACAGAGAAATGGAGAACGTCTGAATGAGAAGAGGAAAGGATGAAATCTAGGGTTCAGTAGAGACCACTTGATCATACAATGATTTAGGTTGTCGGAGAATGAAGAGGGAACTCTAGGTTTTAGCCGAGATACGATGATTCAGGCGATTGGAGAACGAAAAGGGAAGAACAAATTCTAGGGTTTAGAAGAGACCAATACGGCAATTTAGGCTGCCATCTTAGGTACTTTAGGTACTCAAT